CCTCTGGCCTTCTGATTTCTTTTTTATTTCTTTTTTAATGTTTATCTACTTTTGAGAGAGAGAGAGAGAGCATGAGCAGGGGAGGGGCAGGGAGAGAGGGAGACACAGAATCCGAGGCAGACTCCAGGCTCTGAGCTGTCAGCACAGAGCCCGACGCGGGGCTCGAACTCACGAACCGCGAGATCGTGACCTGAGCTGAAGTCGGAAGCTTAACCGACTGAGCCACCCAGGCGCCCCTGACGCTTGTCTGACTTTTACATTTATGTCAGGGTGTTACAGCCACTGTAACACCTCCGACTGTTTTCTTTTGGTTGTATGTTTCCATAGGTTTCTTACTCACTTTGATGTTTTTACTATGAATTCTCCATTTTTGAGTTAGTTTTGACTCTTCCCTGGGTGAGCTGGTTTCAGTGTCATCCAGCTTGTTTGAGAACGGCTCACTGATACTCGACTCTCCAAGTACTTCATGGCTGAGAATGTCGGGCAGCTCCCTTGTCGTTTATCCTCCTGAAGCCTGAACGCTGCGCCTGTGTTTCTTCCATTCCTCCTGAGGATGAGTCGAGTGCCAGCTCTTCTTGGATGGCCTGGTGGCCCCTTGAGCGTGGGGACACTGTTGGAGGATCAGAGAGTGCCATCATTTGCAATGAGGAACTTTGGGCAGCTGAGCAGATTATCCCTCTTCCTTCCCGTGTTTGTGATATTTGTTACTCTAAAAATATCCATGGCCGCTGTGTACAGTTACACAGGCTGTGCACTGTATGACTCCAGGGAGTGTTATGCGTATAAACCACGGTGTGAATGGTGCTCCCAGTGTTGTTCAGGGTGGTGGCCCTGCAGGCTCTTGGCGTGGAAACGCAGGATTCTTTTATGCCAATGTTTCCCGCATTTTAGCTTTTCTCATATGACCTTTGTGAATTTGTTCTTAGCCACCTACCCTTGTTCCACTATGATTTTTTTTTCTTTTCCTCCGTATTGGCTCACATCTTCCTTACATAAATGAATTCAAATGGGAAACTTTATATGACAATTGGAAATAGAAAACCAGCACAACTTGCCAAAAAAGGAAGAAATATATATATGTGCACGTGCATAAAACAACGCAATGCTATCAGATTTTAGCTGGATGCTTTTGCCTTCTCTCTCTCTCTTTTTTCAAGTTTATTTATTTATTTTTGAGAGAGACAGCATGAGTGTGAGGGGGGTAGGGGCAGAGAGAGAGGGAGAGAGAATCCCAAGCAGAATCCAAGCTGTCAGCACAGAGCCCGACCTGGGGCTTGAACCCACGAACTGTGAGCTCATGACCTGAACCAAAATCAGGAGTTGGATGCTTAACTGACTGAGCCACCCAGGAACCCTACCTTCTCTCTCTTTAAAATGGAAGATC